GGTCAGGTATTTCACGTGTCCGTCATTAGTTATTGAGAGATGGAGGTCAGTCGGTAGCCCCGTGCAGTAGTATTCCGCGAGTTCCGCAGGGGTAAGACTCATGCCCCGCTCCGCTACAGTCGCAAACCGGTCCGTGTAATCCTTCAGGTTTCCATTCCACCGCACTTTAGCCAACTCAGTTAGCATTTCGCTTTGTGACATTGTTCTGTTAAACCGTTCCAAAAGCCGGTGCTTTACGGTCGTCCAGTCGCTTAGATCGATAGTTCGCTGAAGATACATCCAATACGTTAGAGCCGGCCCCACGAGATGGTCTATAAGCGCGTTTCCCCACTCACGCGGCTCCATTCCCTTCAGCGCGTACCGGCGCTCGATGCGCAGCAGAAAGGCTTGCATTGTGCTTCCGTCTTCTGGTATGATGGGGGTCCTTTCGCCAGATTCCACGATCCCTCCCATAACGGTTCTTAGCGCACTCATAGCCGACTGGAATTGTTCCCACGAGACGAAGGGGCAGTCTCCTGGTACAGCATTGGGCAGAGGTATCGCCTGTGGGTGCGCCTCCTTATGCGGGCTTGTTCCTACGTCAGGTATTTCACGTGTCCGTCATTAGTTATTGAGAGATGGAGGTCAGTCGGTAGCCCCGTGCAGTAGTATTCCGCGAGTTCCGGTCCCCATTCTGAGTACGGGGCGAGGCGAACAATCGCAAACCGCTCCGTGTAGTCCTTCAGGTTACCATTCCATTGCACTTTAGCCAACTCATATAGCGTTTCGCTCGGTGACATTGCTCTGTTAAACCGTTCCAAAAGCCGGTGCTTTACGGTCGTCCAGTCGCTTAGATCGATAGTTCGCTGTAGATACATCCAATACGTTAGAGCCGGCCCCACGAGATGGTCTATGAGCGCGTTTCCCCACTCACGCGGCTCCATTCCCTTCAGCGCGTACCGGCGCTCGATGCGCAGCAGAAAGGCCTGCATTGTGCTCGGCAGAAGACCGGGGATGGGAGTCCTATCGCCGGGTTCCGTGGTCCCCCCCATAACGGCCTTTAGCGCACTCACAGCCGTATGGAATTGTTCCCACGAGGTGAAGGGCCAGTCTCCTGGTGCAGCATTGGGCAGAGGAATCGCTTGTGGGGGCACCTCTTTGTGCCCGTGCGGCCGCTCTGCCACGGTGGGCTTAGGAGTCGCGTGGCGATGTACCCGGGGGGTCCCGCTGGGCATTCTGTTGACTGACATAGATGGAGTCTCCTGCGGAGTGGGGCCGATGACGCGTCCGTTGCGGAGGTGCATCCCTTACCGAGCGAAGGTGCCTAGGGACAGTCTTTCAGACGTCGTATTTCATTTTCCAGGTTCGAAGGGAAAAATATTTCAATAAATTCCCGGAACAGCCCCCAAATGTAGTGCACTGCGCCCGCAGCTGCGACTACGTGATCTCAGTCCCTTGGGCAGGGTCTAGAAACTGCTCCCTACGCTAGTCCATTTCCTAGAAACTCCAGCTATAGCGATTAAGAATACA